GTCTCATGGTTTTTATTCTTTAGAATAAGGACCTACACTCACACATTCATCATGGTGCAAAAAAGGGATTTTGAGTTTTAATTGATTTTGTCAAATAAATACATCTTTTTTCGAGAGAGAAAAGAGTGGCCATGAAAGGACCGTTGTGGTTTTTTTTTTTTTTTTTTTTTAAAGAAAATAAACTCAGGAACAGGAAGTAATGACATTTAACTGCCTTATCTCTTTACCACAAGCAAGACCTAATTCTAGACTTGCTACTGTCGATGATTTAGAAACCACTAAAGATGTTATCTCAGACGTAGTGTGCGCGTGGACGGGACTGAAGTGATTGGGTCGGGAATGTTTTTATTTTCCTTTCTCTTGGGTCGTATTAATGAAGTCTGATACATTTCTTTAAGACTCTTTAACTCTGCCAAAATGTCTAAGAGTACCGCCTCTATTTGACTTTCACTGTCCTTCTTCTCTCTTAGACCTTGTTTCTTCGCTACTTCTTCTGTCTCTCGTTTTCTCTTGCTTCTTCTCGTTGTTGCTACTGGATGAGAAATGCTTGTTCTGCTTCTTTCTGCTGTTGCAAAAATTTCTCCAATTTTTCTTCCTGTTTCTGTTTAAAATCCTCAACGTGTGGTAAGGAAGGAGAAGGTGGAGAAGGTGCATGCACAGGAACAAATTCTTGTGAAAAAGAGAGAAAATCCAGTAAATCCCAATTAAAATGTATCTCTTCAGGAAATAGAACGGTATTTGCTTTGTTAGTCGCTAATATGACATCACTTCTCGTCTCCACGGCCGATTCACTTAAATTCATGGTATCCTAGTTTCCGTCATGTTCTAACAATGTCGCATGGATTTACTGCACATAGACGCTATCACACCTACATAGGGAATGTGACGTCATAGGTAGCTCTCATCGAATTGAAAAAAGACTCATCACTCTGACTGAATTTTGTAACGCACGTTTTGATTGGTGTAAGAAGTCAAATCGGTTTCGATCCGCTCTTCCAGTATAAATAACCACAGCACACTTCATTACCTTCACATATTCTCGTCACAAGATGTGGACAAACGTAGAATCGTGTACTCTCGTATTGTCGATGCTGTTCCGCAGGAAATAATGTTGTATGTTAAATCATCATGGATAATCATTAGGATCACCGATTTAGGCAAGGCTGTCTAAAGTGAGTCTTAATCTACGGCCCAGATGTTACAAGGAATTTAAGGAAGAGAAGACGACCTATGCAATATACCCGCTATATTAACTAAATGGTAAAAGCCAAAGCCGGTGACAGGGCGACTCCATTGCCTCGAAAAGATTTACTCTCCTTGCCATATTTGTGTGTATTTGTTTTGTATTTGTGTTATGTTTGTGTATTTATTTATTTGTCTATATCTATGTCTATCAAGTTCTGCCCCGCCAGACGTTATATCAAGTTATTCGTCCCGTCCCGCCTCACCAGGCGCTATATAAATTATATTGTCCAGCCCCGCCAAGCTTTATATCAAGTTATATTTCCCGCCCCGCCAAGCCTTATAGCTTATTTTTCTGCTATTCCTATTTGGCCCAATTGAGGTCAGCCACTTGCAACATTGTTGCCAATATCCAGTACCGTGACATCACCCCACCTGTTCCATTACTATTATCCCAATAGTGGATATAATATTCCCATTATCACTTTGTGCATGTACCATTCACTTCATGTTAAATTCCCCTTGTCGCTAAACAGCCCCAGGCTCTTTTTGACCTGGAATTCCATTGTCGCTATGCAAACCCTACTCTCTTCACTACTAAAACGCTTCTTTGAAAAACGAAAATCCTTTAACCTGTTATTGCAACATTACAACTGAGTCACAGACCTCTACTTATTTCAGGAGTTTAATCAAAGAAATCCCCGTCTCTTAGCACATGCAAATTATTTTCTAACTGTTCTGATCTATATTTACTGTGCCCCATTACAACTTTCGCCAACACTTTTGATGAAAGTCACCGCATCAGAATAACATTGTCACCAACAGTTTTATTGAACTCGAAATGTAATGGTTGAAATGTTTCTTTTTTTTTTTCTTCACCGGATGATATTATTACTTTTATATATATATATATATATATATATATATATATATATATATATATATATATATATATATATATATATATCGGATAAGTCTTATACATTTGTCTGACAATGCATTCTCGCGTTAGGAAAATATTTGTATGACTTCACTATTATTCTTTCCGAAAATGAGCTGTCAAGCTCCGCCTGTTGCTCAGTTTAATGCAATTTCGAGAAAACTCACATTTAGTGCAAATTGTAATTATGTAGTTCTGTATTGTCTATAAACACTGGAGTGAGCTGATGTAGGTGCCCTGCTTGTCAACACTCGCTCCCCCTCCTCCTTAGGAAGCCTGAAGGAATGGAATAAAGAAAGCGCTAATCCATAATTTTACCACGTGTCAAAGACACGTTGCCGGTAGGTGAAAATAATCTGTCTAGTCTGATCATTTCATTGTTTTTGCATTATTCAGGTTCGGACAATCGAACAATTCTCTTGATGTTATTCATGAAAGGAGAAAACAGGACAGAACAAAAACAAACTTAACACCGATTGTGGATTATATTCGTCATTAAAATTTAAAAACGATCAAACTCTCTTGAGTATTGGTTAAAAATATATTTCTGGTTCATTTATTCCAGGGATGACGTAGATAATAAAGGGAGATATATTGCCATTATCATTGTTTATCAACGTGGTTATTTTGTCTTTATCTTTGTTGTAATAGTGTTCACATATAAAATCAAAGAATCACATGCACAAATGTAGAGTATAATTATAGTGAATGGAAGGTTTGAACGTTATGTTAGTGTGATTATCAAGTATTAAGGACGACTCTTTGCTGGGTGCCAATTTTAGAATTTCAAATTAAAACACATAGGAAAAACATGACATCTTGTGGGGCCTAAGAACAAGCTTTCACTTTATTTGCCTTTTGAAACAATCAATCATTCGAAATTCTATTGTTAATCATGTCGCCAACGGGATTGTCGCACAAAGAGTAAATTTGTCTCAGTTACATGCATAGGAGGTCTGTCAAAATTGCTGTCACCAGCAAATGGAGTTTGTATTATTTTTCAAATTTTTAAGGACATAAATCTTTGGAAAGGTCCGATTAAATTTGTTTCCTGTATGCAAATCTCTTTGCTGAAAGATACAATCTTAATGTTACACCTTGCATTTAATTACAAAACAAAAACTATATAAAACTGTTTGTCGAAGATATTTTGAGTTACACGGTTTCATAAAATTTCTTAAGTTTTGAAATGTTTTCTAAAACTAAGATCATTATTAACATGAGGTGTGCAAGGATATACATATGGTTTGTATTCGCGTATAAAACGAGCTCTACTGCAAACTGTAACCCTGATCTGCAGTAACATAAAGCACCGTTATATCTGGGTCTATGCATTTTGTTAGGAATAATCACTAGACACTGCTCTGCTGGTTACATACTGCTACGAGAGATTATGATCTTTGATTGCAGTTGGGTTTGGCTTATAAGCGAATATATATGGTAATATATTTACCAATGCAAGTCTCAAATAACGCATCTTAATTCAATTACAAATTGTTGTGAAGAAACAAACTTGCAGTTTCTTTCAAAATTATGTCTAAAATTTTCTTTGTTTCGACATATTTTAAATCGGATTGAACAAAAGCAAACTTCATTCTGCTAATTTTTCTTGCAAACTTAAATGCATGAAGATACTCTGGCGCAAATGCGTTTAAGACCTTAAAAGTAAAAAAAAAAATCAAATAAATAAAATATTCCTTAATTTGCAAAATTTAAGAGTGGTGAAAAGAGATGATGCCTGTTGTCTTTGACATTTAAAATACCAAGAGTGTTTTTGTCTGTAAGCTGGATAGTTTCTACGGAACAGGTGTGCCGGCAAAGAGACGATGGGTTGGGGTGGGGGAAAACATGTAGTGGTCATCTATTTAATATTATGGATGTAGGCCAAAACAAGGATGAGAAAGCCACGTGTGGGTGGGGGCAGATTCCGTCCCCCTTGTCCCTACGTGCGGACGCCCATGCTCTGTATGTATGAGGAATTGTGGGTTTATACCCATACAATACAATACATACAAAAATAGATAAAAAAAACCCAACTATATTTTTTAAAACACTTTTTAACAGCTTAAACTTATTTAATTGTTCTAAATGTTAACAAACAGGGTCGGGCTAAAACTTACTGCAACTTAGACTAGGCCCTTCCCTTCAATCGATAAGAAATTCATATAAATAGCGGTACTAAATTAATGGTTCCATGCATTTACATGCCTCAAAAGAGAGAGAGAGAGAGAGAGAGAGAGAGAGAGAGAGAGAGAGAGAGAGAGAGAGAGAGAGAGAGAGAGAGAGAGAGAGAGAGAGAGAGAGAGAGAGAGAGAGAGAGCTTCTGAAGACAGAATACTTACTTTCACATTTTACTGAGAGTAAGTTCCAAACTTGAACATTAGAGTGTAGGAATAAGTTACTACTTATTTTGAGTCTGCATAGATCTTTAACGTAGCTTTAAAAGAAATTTCAGTCGTATGGCTACGATGCATGCAGTATAACGGTTTATAGTGATTTCTTGCACTGGGACATCATGCCAGAGACATGTGACATGTTGTGTCACCTATGGGCGCCCGCAGGATTTTTCTGCAAGGGTGGTGTCAGGACTTTGTGCAGGGGGGGGGAGGGCAAGATATTTCAGCGGTGGGAGAGGAGTCAGCCAGTCACGGCCGGGAGAGTTAGTGTAAGAAGATGTCTAAAGCTAATATTTATTAAGCGGTTTGAACAGAATCTGGTAACATATTTTTAGCTTCATTTGCATGATTAAATTGCGGGTGCCCATGGTCCGACCCAGTCACGTTATCCTGACACCAGGCCGACAAATCATAACACCAACCTCTTATTGCTGAGCACCAAAGTGAGTCATCTGTTAGTACCTTTGTTAAAGTCTTTGATATGACTCTGCCAGGGTTTGAACCGGCGACATACCGCATTCGAGGCGGACGCTCTAACCTCTAAGGCCATCGGAGCGGTCGGACAGGAAAAAGAAATTTCCCACTGGCCACAATAGAGGCTGACCACCCGATCCTCAGAGAAGAATTAGATTCTGCAATAATGACACTAAATAAAAAAGAAGTTAGCTCGGGAAGATACCATACTAGTAGAACTTGTTCAAGCAGAAGGAATCTGCATGATAGATGTCCTCAAATCAACTTGTAACAAACTCTAACAAACACGAGAATGATCCATATCATGAGCCCGGAGCATGATCACCACTCTTTCTAAGAAAAGCGATCTACAACTATGTCAGAACTACCTAACAATCAACCTCATCAGTCACCCAAGCAAGGTTCTGCTTAAAATCATTCTCAACAAAATGAAACCCGAAGCAGGCAGGTTCCAGAGTAGGACGTAAGCACTATAGAACAGATCTTTAGTCTTAGAATCATCTGAAAAAGATTGACAGCACCATCAAGGAGATCTCCATCATATCAATAAGAAGGCTTTCGACAGGGCGTGACATGCAGATGTATGGGACACCATGCAGAGATACAACATAAACGCAAATCTAATCAGCACCATAGAAATCTCGTATGTCAAGGCGACTAGCACAGATCTCGTCAACTGCATTATAGGAGACTGGTTCCAATCCACTATCGGAGTCAAAAAAGGGGTGCCTTCTCTAACCCACCCTCTTCAACCTCTTCTTGAAAAGGACCATGTCCAATGCCTTGGAAGACAACGAGGGCACTGTCAGTGGTGGAGGCAGAACAATCACCAACCTGCGTTTCTCTGATGAGATTGGTGGCTTAGCAGGAGTTGAAATGGAAACCATAGCAAACCGCCTTGACGGATCATCACTAAGGTATGGGAGGGAGATCATCGCTGAAAAAATCAAACTAATGACAAACAAACCGAGCGGTCTCACAAAGGAAATAAGAGTGAATGGATAGAAACTGTGCACATTGACTACTTTTAAGTATCTAAATGATATATGGAGCGTTCACCAGTTATTATGTACTTTTGAGAGAGTGATGCATGTAAGATGAAGTTATTTGCATATAAAACATGCACAGTGGAGAGAATGTTGGCATACCTCTATGTATGTTACTTTGATGTAATATGACTGATATTTCTTTGAATATTATAGTTTTGGAAATTGTAGATGATTTTAGCACACTGCCAACTAAAATGACTGCTTTCTTGTGTTCCAAGAAATCATCCTAAATTTGTCTGAAGTATACTATTCTTGGCAGCTATTTAAATAAGGAAAATGAATTGTTCCCGACTAGACAATACCAGCTTGTGATAGTACAATGAATGAAATTAAATAAAGTTATCATCTTTTGTTATTTACAATTTACCTCTGATGTTCAGGAAGTGAAAATGACCAAGTGGAGATAGGACTTTTTGAAAGGTGCAAATATGGAATAATACCAAGCTGTATACTTTATAACCTATATTACACCCATGAGGCATATACCAAAATAAAAGGGAATTAAAGGTTCTTTGAACAATAACAAATCTAACCTATGAAAAATACGAAACTGTAGAGCGCCGCCATAATCATTTAAAGTTCAAAACTGATGGTTCTTTCCAGGATTGCGCAGACAACAGCTGCAATGTATAGGCTAAAGTCTTTTTTCAAGGACAGCAAGATTGTGTTTTGGTCCAAGATAAGCCTATGCTCTTCCTCGCTCATGTTCCTATTCCTGTAGGGAATCAGTACACAATTAATAAAATCCGGTTCAGTACCCACGAATGTGGTCCCAGTCTATTTTTAGATCACTTTTTCCTGTCAACGTTTGGTGGTGATACTAGAGTCAGATTTTGGCATTCTTGGTAAGGATTTAAAGGCAATTGTTTATTCTTTAAAATGTGAGCATATGGTGTGGTTGTCTGTCTGTATTTCGGCGACAGTGCACATTGAGTGAAAAGGGAATTAAGTGCACATTGAGTGAAAAGGTCATGGTGATGATCCGGAAGTGAAATATGTGATCCGTTGCCTGGTGTTTTGTTTGCAATTCAGCCTCTCAAAAAAATGCAGGTCAACCCTTGAAAAGAACTAAACCGTAAAGTCATCTTTGAAGGTGTTTTAGATTAACATATGATTTGTATTGATTGTCACACAGTGGAAAGTTTAGTACTGAGAAACAAATGTAGAGAAAATATAGTGAAATTAATTGTGTATTATTGCCTGTCAGTAAAAACTTCAATATAAAATAAAATTTATATTATTAATGACATACACATGAAATTTTAATAGGTTATGTATATTGACTTTAGAAATATACAAATGAAATTAAAAATAAAAAAAATAATTTTAATTTTAAAAATTTAAATGAAATTTAAAAAACAATTAAAAAATAAAATTTTTCCACCAAGTATACACATATATAATATTTATTTGGAATGATATAAAAAATATATCAGCATATATATACTCCTACACCATATACAAGCTCAAATGATGGATATTTGTCAAATTTGATCAGAGAAAATATCTTTATTAGTCAAAATGAGACCATCATTTAATATACATGAAGACAAAATTCTACTTTGCTTTGTACCTTTAGGTCATTGAAACTATTTATTTTGGGTCCAAACAGTTAATTTATGTGTTTATGATGGGGTGACTTCCTGAGTAACACATATCTGCTTGTATAGCTATCAGTAATTGTTTATAACCATAGTTATAGGGTATTTAGTGAGAGGACAGAGATGAAGACTTTATACTAGAACCTGTTCAAGTTCTCTAATACATGCCCATTGCTTCACATCTTTGAGTGTCACTCTATCAAGTTTACCTTTTTTTAACCCTGTTTGCAACCTGGATGTTATTTTGAAATCACCATTTCTAACACATTTTAACTTCATTTGCCTACATCTTTCTGTTTTTTTTTAGAATTAAGTGAAACATGTTGTATCTTTTCAGGTCTAGCCTGGTATCTGGAACAAAGTATTCGAGTTGTATCATTTTGGAAGCTCTCCAGTAGTCCAATGGTGATAGCAAGGTCTCATAAGGACATGTGCAGTCTGCTGCTATAAGTGACCAAGATGAACTCATATCAGTACACTGATATACAGCATCTCAAAGACATGGCTTAGATCTTCATTACAGAGATTCACATCATTTTTCAGTAAGGTGGAACTTCCCTGAAACTGTATTTTCATATTGAATTGTTGACTTTTGTAGTTATCGGCATTAAAATGGAATGCATATTTGCTATAAAACATGGTAGTGGTCCCTTCAAAACTTTAAATTTGAGTGGGCTATTAGTTATACAAACAACTGCCCAAGTACCTAAAACAATAAATGTGGAACATAGCACCTGTAATTGTTTCTTTAGTATGTACACCTATATGCATCTGGATAGGCATGTTGCAATTTGCTGTCAAAATCATTGTGAGCTATCATGCTTCAGTACCCCTGGGATTAATATCATCAGTTGTACAGACCTAAACTACCATTTGTTTTAAACACCATTCATTAATCAACGTTTCTGCCTTAAATTTGTCAAACTGAATGTCATAACTTGTATGAAAATTTAATTTTTGTAAAATAAGTATTTTTTAAAATTTATATATTTATTTAAATTTTCATTAAAATTTAATGTATCAATTTTTTTAATTTCAAGACTATTTTCAGACAGGCCTTATCAAGTATTACAATTAGGTTTTTACTGCATTGAAAAATTCCTATAATTAAGGAAGATATAGCAAATTTAGTTTTGGTTTCTTAAGAACAATTGGACCTCAAATTGCACCCTATAGAACACCAGCACTACACACATTCTGACAGCTGTCACATGTCTTGCTTGCAAGGAAATTTAAAAAGACTATGTATGAAGTTGAAACAGTAGTGGCATGCAAAAAAAAAATGCAAAAATAAAAGTTTGACAAAAACATTAACCCTTTCAGGAATCAGTACACAATAAAATCCGGTTCAGTACCCACGAATGTAGTCCCAGTCTATTTTTAGATCACTTTTTCCTGTCAAAGTTTGGTGATGATACTAGAGTCAGATTTTGGCATTCTTGGTAAGGATTTAAAGGCAATTGTTTATTCTTTAAACTGTGAGCATATAGTGTGGTTGTCTGTCTGTATTTCGGCGACAGTGCACATTGAGTAATAAGGTCATGGTGATTATCCGGAAGTGAAATCTGTGTTCCGTTGCCTGGTGTTTTGTTTACAATTCAGCCTCTCAAAAAATGCAGGTCAACCCTTGACAAGAACTAAACCGTAAAGTCATCTTTGAAGGTATTTTAGATTAACATATGATTTGTATTGATTGTCACACAGTGGAAAGTTCAGTACTGAGAAACAAATGTAGAGAAAATATAGTGAAATTAATTGTGTACTATGGCCGTATGCATTAGAGATTTGGACCCTGACGGCAGAGCTAGAGAGAAGAATCCATCCTTAGGAGACTAGATGTTATCATGGTCATGGAAATCTCGTACTTAGACCATGATGAGGCATTAGAATTCAAGCTGCTATTGGACCATGTGAAGGTCTTTTCATCATGTTAAGTAACGCTAACTAAGATGGTATGGTCACGTCTTACTCTCATCTGGTCTATCAAAGACAGTTATATAGGGCACAATGAGAAGTACACGAAACAAGGCAGATATAAGAATAGATAGGAAGATAACATCAAAGAGCAGTGGAGAACAGAGCACAATGGTTACAGTAGAAATGAAAAAGAAAACCAAACAAAATTCCACATAAACGCTTCTCATGGTCTAATCATATGGCTGATTGATATGCAAGTTTCATAGCCGGTAAGAAGTTGTTGTTACTGTTTGTTGTTTTGAGTCTAACACCATATTTCAGCACATGTTAGCCTATATATGGCGGTCAACATAACTGGTTGAGGAAGAACCTGGGAAAAATCCGGAAAGAACCACAGACCCACGGAAAGCTATTGACAAACTTTTTCACATACCCATATCGGCCAAGCCAGAGAATCGAACACAGGCGGACAGAGGCAAGATGGCAGTGATCAGTAAAGGCGAGCGGTTTAGACCACTC